GTCGTCGTCGAAAGGATTCGCAGAAGACCTGGTCCCCTCGGCCGCTCGGCGCAGTAGTAGGCTCCGGAGGCGGGGCTGCCGGCCAGTCCTGGCGGAAGTGGCGCGCGCGGCGGCCACAGTGAGTCCGCCCGCCGGCGCTGGGCTGTCAACCTCACGCCCGGTCGCCCCTCCTGCTTCCTAGGTCCAGGCCGTCGCGGACACCATGTCCGGCTACCCCAAAAGCTATAATCCTTTCGACGACGACGTGGAAGATGAGAACACCCGACCGTCGCCGTGGAAGGACGCCCGCGACCCGCCCGACGGGCCCGACGCGCCCATGGACCGTCAGCAGTACCTGCGACAGGAGGTGCTGCGCAGGGCCGAGGCTACGGCCGCCAGCACCAGCAGGTCCTTGTCCCTCATGTATGAATCGGAGAAGGTCGGAGTCGCCTCTTCCGAGGTGAGCCTGAGACAGAACTGAGCAGAACTGGCCAGTCCCTTGCTTTATAAAACGCGATAAGGGAATGTTTTGTTGACGATCTTTTGGGATTTGGGGGTGTTTACCTCGGGAAGCTCCCTTACCTATTATTCTGCGTGGTTGATTCCACCTCCCTCCCCATCTCCTGTCCACCTGTCTAGTTAAAAGGTAAACTCCAAATTATGTTCTGCCTGAGGGTCAGAACTGAGAGTAAAAATGCCAACGTGCAGACCTAAATTAGGGAAATAGTGTCTGTTTTGTGTACAACTTCTTGGGCAGAAGTCTTAGGCTGTACCTGTCTAGTGACCCAGTTAAGATGTGGACTGTATATGCCCCAGGTGCTAGGTGATGCCTGAAGCGCTAGAGCAGAGGAAGCCTTGCGTTCTTCTCACATCCTTGACCACTTTTCTCCTCACTCATGGGAATATTTAAGTCCTCCTCAGGAAAGCAGATCTTGAATTGTGTCTAGACCCTTACCTTTATAGATAATGTGTTGATGTGACAGTCTGTTGTTCCAGTCAGCTCTTACCATCCGTAGAAAATTTCAGAAATTAGGAACTTTGCCTTGTCTTTCGTTATGTGTCTGTATGTATGCACATGTGTGAGGGTGTCTCCTGAAGCCAGAAGAGGGCGCCTGGGGAATCCCTTGAAGCTTGGAGTTACAGTTGTGAGCTGCCAAGTATGGGTGCTGGGAACTGAGCTGGTCTTCTGAAATCTAAGACTTTTTTGAAGGGAGGGGGAGTTTTGGTTTGGTGAACAGCCTGTCTATGAAGCCCCAGGCTAGCCTGGAACACAGAATCCTCTAGTCTCAGTCTCTCTACTGCTGGGGTTACAGGCATGCACTGTTGTGGAATAAGGATTATTCCAAGACACCAAGTTGTCTCCCAAGTCTGCTAATAAAACAGTTGTTTGGGCAGAAAAAATTGAGAAATTACTGATGGATCAGCTAAGAAAAAACTTAAGTATTTTGCAGTTTTGAAAAGTAATAGTTGAAACCAAATATTGTCTTCCTTCTCTCTAGTCACAGGGACTTGGGCAGATCTGAGGTGTATTGATTACTTTCACATACAGTCATCTCTGTCATTGCTGCATTGCTGCTGTTTTACTTTCTCCTTACCTGTCCTTGTTATGGTATCCCTAGTTGTCAATGTATCTTCTGCCTCTAGGAAGTTGTGTGTATGGTTCTTACATCTGTGTACTGAATGCTTAATGTTCCAGTCCAGATCAGTCGGGTGCCTTGGTGAACAGGTCACTTTGATTTGAGATTAGGTCTCATAGTGTAGCCCAGACTGACCTTGAACTCAAGAACCTCCTGTCTCAGCCTCCAGAGAGCTGAGCTCATAGACTTGCACCAGATGCCAAATGCTCACTGTGAACACATAGATCCTCTGGAAGAGCAGGACGCACCGTAACCTGCTGAGCTATCTCCAGCACCAAAAGAGAACCTTTCTCAATAGTATGCATCATTCTGTCGTCCTGGCTATCCTGGAACCTGTGTAGAGTAGACTGACCCAGTCGGAGATGTATCTGACTGTTCCTGGGGGCACTGAGGTTCAAGGTGTGCCAGCACACCTAACATTTTTATTCTTTTTAACTTTAAAGTGCGATGTTCTTTACATATTGCCCTGTATATTGTTTAGTAGTACTGAAGGTTATTTTATAGTTAAATACAATGAGGATTGGGGGTGGGGGAGGCAGGCTAATGACCATATTGTATTCCATTAAATAGATGACTTTTGTTTATGCAACCATTCTCCTAATAGAGAACATTATAATACCTGCTTCCTACATGGACATCGTTTTTGTATACCTTTTCACTACCCTGGCCAAAGTCATTCACCTTCCCAGGACACTCTGCCTCTCCTGTCGCAGTGTAGCATACTACAATGATCTTTTTTTTTTGGGAGCCTGGTGTCTCAGTTCAGCAGAGCTCCGCAACAAACCTACTGTTGAAATGGGTGTGGTGTCAACCCCGGTGGGCAAGGACAATTGGCACATGATGTGCTCAGCCACCTTGGCTAGCACATATTCCTCAGGAGCCCAATCATCTTTGAATCTTTCCAGTCCTTGTTACTGAAGCCACAATGGGCATTCGACTCAGAGAGGTGGGAGAGACAGACAGACAGCATCCTTCTTAAGTCAGAGCAGTAACAAGAAAATAATCTTCAGATTTTCCCCAGTTAGGGTCAATTCATTGCCAAAGATGTACTCTTGTTTTCTAGAAAGCTAGAGGGGAGCAGTCATTCCCAGTGAGGGTGTCCCTGATCCTCCAGAGTCTTTCATGGGAACGCTGATGAAGCCTGTTTCTCAGCCAAGACGGATAATGACAGAAAGACAGCTGCTAGATCAAGTTCTCTCCAGTCCTCAGGGATTTTTTTAAAATGTACCCTAATAACCAATATGTGTTTCTGAATCCACTCTATGCCGAGGAAATCTCCAGCACATACAGAATCCAGCAAGTTCCATGTTTGCTCAGCCATACCCACTAGAACCTGTTAGTATGGGTGTTTATTACCTTGGGAGACGAGAAAAATAATGAAGAAAAAATTATTTCTTATTTTCCTTTCTGAAATAGAGTTTTATATTGCCCAGGCTAGCCTCAAACTTGTCGATCCTCTTGAGTTCACTTCCAGAGTGCTGGGAGTGCATGCCTGTGCCATCGCACCCAGTTTTTCACCAGTCTAGGGAGATAAATTCCAGGTTTCTGGATTCACTGCCTTGACCCCAGATTGACATTCATATACTTACCAGTTAATAGCTAAGTTTAATTTTAAACTCATTATGAGACCCAACTGTTGTTACAGGATGCTTTAAATGTAGACTGTGGTGTGCACAAGTCGTTAGTGCTGCCCTTGGGAGGCCTCAACATCATTTGCTGTGTGTTTCCTACTGGGTTTTGATGGGTCCCACCCACACCCTTCTGTGCTCACCACACAGTTCCACTTCCCCTCAGTTACTCCAGCTGCCTAGACTAGCTGCTCTCTTCAACTCAGCATTTACCCCATCCCACCCTTGGGACTCTCTGATACACTCCTTAAACCAGGCCGGGAATCTTTATTGGGGTTTGGTTCACTGTGATAAAGAAACAACCATGCGTGTAATAACCTTTGTTTTGTTGTTCCCATGAAACAGCTCAGTGAAGCAAGGATGTGCCTGCTCCTCAGTTCTCAGCACCACAGAGTGGCTAGCAAGTTAGAGTTGAACTGAACTTGCTCTTACCCTACATGGGTTATGTGAGCCTTCATGGTGGAGTTTGGATTGTTAAGTCCCCAACTAATCACTAGCACTGGAAGCACTCTTGGCAGACATGAGTTCTCAGGAGAAAGTCCCCCAGACCGTTCCATGCTCAGCCAGCAAAAGCTTATGATCCCCTGAGCCCTCACAGTGCCCTGAAACAGCCTCAGTGTGTCTCACATCAGGCGGGCGTTCTGCTTTCTCTTCCTCTCAGGAGTCACTCACAGAAAAGAGGAAAGGAAGAACTTTGTCTGTACTTTCTTGGCATCCCAAGCACATCCCCTCGCTTTTCTTTTTTTCCTGTTTGAATTTAGAAAACTCTTGAGGCTTAAAGAAGTTGGGGGATCAACTGTAATCATCTCATAGTCCCATGGAAGGCATTTCCTTGTCCTTTGTTTTTAGATAGGGTCTCATGAGCTCAACTGACTTCCCTCTCTGTGTACCTGAGGATGACGCCGGACTCTTGATTCTCTGCTGTCTCCTCCCAAGAGCTGGGATTACAAGCATGTCCCACCAGCCCAGTTTACAGAGTGCTGGGGATTGAGATCCCAACATCCTGTGTGCTAGGCAAGCACCCTTACCTGCTGAGCCACATTCCTTATCCAAGAGTTCACCCCCTACTCCCCCCAGCCACCCTGGGCCAGTACTGGCCTCATTCTCACAGAGGCAGATGGGAAAGTCAACACAGTTCACTTCTGAGTTATGGGAGCACATCTCCAAATCCACAGCATTTGAAGTCTGTCCTCAGCATGGCAGGAGTATAGAGCCTTAGCCAGCCCATCCTCACAGGAAACAGTGAGGAAGTACTACAAGCCCCTTGCCACACCCTTCCTCTGTGGTTGGTCCTAGGTCAAGAGCACATTGGATCCAGTCATTTCTTATTCCTTTTAGGGAGGAGTCTGACCAAAGAAACTCTTTGCTTTACTGGTCTCGTGCTCTCCAGTGAACAACAGGTTCTGGTACATAGAAACTTCCAGAAATCAAAGCAACCCTCCCTCCTCTGGCCTTCTGCCTCTCAGAGGAAAAGCCATCTTTACTTAATTCTCTATGTTCTCATTGTAATACCTATGTCAGGTGTCTAGTTTCCTCTGCAACTGAGAAGCGGTGTCGCTTGTAAAATGAGATCTCCCTGCAGTCCTGGGAGAAGTTGTCAGGCTCTTTTGTTTCCCCCGCAGCTTTCTTAGTGGAAAAGAGAAGTAGCTTTGAGAAAATCCTGTCATGATAGGAAGAACTGACTGCTAGAATCCCCAAAGGCCTCTGGCCTACCAGAGCTTTGCACATTTCAGCCCTCAGTGTCAACTGTTGTCCTGTCCAGTCATCCAGAACTGTGGCTGTAGCTCAGGGTTGAGCACTGTACGTAAGGCCTTCAGTATGCAAAACAGTACTAATAATAAAGAAAGAAGAGAAAAGGAGGAGGAAGGAAGATAGAAAAAATATACATGGGTGCAACAGAAATCATGTAGCTCTGGTGTTCCACAACAGTCTGCGAGGATAGTAAGCTAGGAAACTCTGAAGATAAGTTATCAGGTCCGTTTTGTCTCTGAAGACTAGCTCTTACAAATTTGTTTGACACAGTGCAAAAATGTTTTTCTTTTCATTTAAAAATTCCTAAGCTGTCCAGCAGTGGTGGCGCACGCCTTTAATTCCGGCACTCGGGAAGCAGAGACAGGTGGATTCCTGTGAGTTCGAGGCTACACAGAGAAACTCTGTCTTGAAAAACCAAAAAAGGAAGAGAGGGAGGGATGGAA